TCTCCCAGCAGCCCTCAGCCAGAGCAAGAAGCAGCCAGGTAAGTTGCAGGGCCCCCCCCCCCCCGTCCAAAACAGTCCAGTGGCACCTTTAAGACCAAGTTTTATTCAGGTACAAGCACTCCCTCCTCTGCAAGGACAGATTTGTAAATCCCCCCCCCCAAATAGCTAGCAATCCAAAACAGTCCAGTGGAGCCTGAGCGGTGGGTGTTGCCTTCTGACACACTTCCGGTGATGTCAGGGGGTGTGGCATATGCAAATAAGTTATGCTAATGAGTTATGCTAATGAGCTCCTGCACCTCTTTTTCTACGAAATGACCCCTGCGTAGAAGTCAGGGCTTCAGAGCACGGGAGAGGCTACAGGTGTGTGGGGGGTGGAAAGCTGAAGAGTGAGAGGGAAATAAAGGTAGGTTGATGATTGGTTGGGAAGGAGATAGGGTTGCCAACTCCAGGTGGGAAATTCCTGGGAGATGTGAGGGATGGAGCCTGGAGAGGGTGAGGTTTCAGAAGGCGTGGGACCTCAGACAGGTACAAAGCCATAGACTCCACCCTCCAAACCAACTATTCCCTTCTGGGGAACCATCCTTGCCAATCTTCAGGTGACAACTGGAGATCACTCAAAATTACAACTGTTCTTTAGGTAGCAGAGATAAGTTCCTATGGAGAAAATGGTGGACTCAGTGTCATTATACCCTGCTGAGGTCACCACAGCAAATTGACACTGAGTGTCCAAGGCTGAGGCACCTGCCCAGAGCCTCTTACTAGAGGCCGTTGTATTTATTTCCACAACGGGCCTTTTTCCTAGTGTGTGTGTGTGTGTGTATGAAGAGATTGGATTTATATTCCGCCCTTCACTTGAGGTTTCAGAGCAGCTTACAAACTCCTTTTCCTTCCCTTCCTCTCCTGACAACAGACACCCTGTAAGGTAGGTGGGGCTGAGAGAGCTCTTTCAAGAACAGCTCTGACAGAACTATGGCTTGCCCAAGGTCATCCAGCTGCTGCAAGTGGGGAATCAAACCCGGTTCTCCCAGATTAGAATACATGCACTTAACTACTACCCCAGCTACAGAATTTGTTTTGTAATACAGGATGTATGAAAGACTGCTGTACTAGGGCTTGAATGAGAAATGCCATCCTACAGGAATAGGGGTAATGCCCCATGCTTTGAAAGTTTTGCTTGTTAATTGCTGCAAATCAAAACATGGTTAAAGGGCCAGTTCAAAAGCTGAGTTATGTAGCTAATCTATTTCCCATTCCCAATTTGATTTACAATTTGCAGCAGCAGTTTGTTCGGGATTATCAGAGATAAGCACAAAGATTATTACTATATCTATGTTGCCTGCAGGTGGCACCACAAAAATCTCCTGCTTCAAAGCATCCCTAATTTTATGTACTCCATGCACAAATATATATCTTTAGTGAAGTGGCCTTCATTTATTGGATAGCACATTTCTAAAGAACAGCATCCATTTCCTCTGTTTACAAAGCAGGTTGTGTGGTAGTATTTAAAAGAGAAAAGAAAAACATCATCCGTGCAAATGGCAGTGTATTTTGTGGTCTATTTTCTCTGTTCTTTATTATCTCAGTGTTTGTTTTCCTACAAATATGATTTGTCAGTCACGGAAAGTTTGGAAATGTAGATTTAAGTTACACAGAGTTACAAAAAGCCTAGAACAGCACATGCTGTAGATCATGGTCTAAACCTGAAAATATTGTTCTGTCTCGCAGATAAGAGCACTGCGTAGCTTAGCGCCATTGTCCTTCAGAAGAAGAGCCTCTAATGTGTTTACTGTTGCTTCCACTTTGCTCTTCCTCCACCACCTTTCAGAACCCCTCTAGCTGTTTGGAGTTTCACATGTGAATCCCAGGAACCACCGGTTAGAATGTTCTGATAGGATATGGGTATAAAATAGATTCCCACTGCCCTTTCAGGTTTCCCCCTTCTCTTAAATTTTATGTAACATGAACAATTATGCATGTAGAGATACTGTGCCACTGACTTAGATGTCTCTTGTTTCATAAACAGTAGATCAAAAATACTTTACAAAGCAAAAAGGACAGCTTCTCCTGCCCAGATATTCAATATATTGCTATACCTTATACCATATTGATAATTATATACAAAACTTTTAAATTGCCTCTTAGAGATGTATGGAAGCATATAATATAACAGTTTGAAAATATCCCACTTAAAGTTTTTTTAAAACCTTCTTGAATCATGTCAGTCTGCTGAATAAACCATGACTGCATGAAGAATATAATAGCACATATTTGGAATGTCATTTAAGATTTAGGTATAACTGATAATATTGTTCTTTCGTGGCTTAAATGGGGAGCACCGGCCCCGGGATCTGGTGGAGATAGCAGCAGCAAAAGTTCTGAACAGTGGTGTAAGGCAATTAGTGTACAGTGCTGATGGTGATTGTGTGCAGTTTCTGCTGTTTATCCTGCGTTCTTCTTTTCTTCAGCTGCATTTTACTTTTGTTTTCCCGTTGATCTCTGTTTTGCCTTCTGGATTCTCGACCTCTGTTTTCCTGTCTGATTTCCTTGCTTTCATCTCTCTTTGGCTTCTTTCTTCTTTCCTCTCTGTTTCTTTTTCCTGAAATTAAAAGCAGGGTACATTGTCATTTTTTAGAGTTTGTTGCTATTTTGTCCTTTGTATTCCTAAATGGGGGTTGGGGGAGACTGGCATGGCTTCTTCCACAGGCTACAAGAGGTTTGAGGATTAGAACAACTGAACAACAACTCCTTCTTGACAATTTTTCAGTATTTAAAAAGGCACTTTAATTACCTCAAAGACATTTCCTTCCTTCCATTTTACTATACCATTAACATCTGTAACTTTTTTCGTATTTCTCCAGTTTTGTGCAATGATGATTAATGCTAATGTCAGCAGGCCTGACACATAAATCAATAAAAAATTAGCAACACAAATTAAATGGTATTGGAGCATTAAATATATAGAAACTCATTTTTTTCTTTACTTGGATCAACAAAATTACATACATTAAACTGCTGTCAATGCCTAATGATTTTATTAAATGTTTTACTCCCGATAGATAGGAAAGGTAAGCGTAATCCAATTAATGACACACAGGTTGTAAAATGAAGTGGGCACACTTGAAGATTCAGCTATATATTGTGAAGGAAAAAGTCTGCATAAGTAAAACTGTAACAGTTAAAGAAATACCTTACAATGCATCGACTAAGATGGATAATGTACCATGACAGAAGAAAATGTGATCACTACAATACAGAGTTTTTTTTATAAAAATAGAACATAAACTTTGGCAAAATTAAACTGTTGCTGTAAAGATTACATTGTTTTAGTGAACTACCACAAAGGGGCACTATTGAGCTTTCCAAGCCCATCATTTGTCATCTGTGAAAATAAACTGGGATTCTTGGGGGGGGGGGGCAATTCTTTGATTCACTAGAAAGCTCTTCTGTAATTGATGCAGGGAGGACAGCAAAGTGATGGTCTGTATTTGTTCTTAGTCTTGTGTATCATATTTTTATGCCTGTTTTCCCTTCTAAAATGTTTGAGCGCCCTAGGCCCGTCTGAGAAGGACGTATGCAGGACTACAACTATTACTCAATCATTTGTGGCATTCAGTGGCAGAAATGTTCTAACAGACACAAATTATTGTGTCTTGTTACTTAACTAATAGAAAGAAGCAAGAATGTCAGTAAATAGAAGTCTCAGATGCTGCAAACTGAGTATGCAGGGGGTATGTAATTTTTTTAAAAATGTCTGGGCAAAATGACACATTTGAAACAAGTGTCTCTGCCTTCATATAAGAAGCTCTTAATAATAATCCAAGCATGTGCTAAGGAGAGCACTGTGTATAACCAGGGGTCTTTTCATAGAAAAAGAGCTGCAGGAGCTCATTAGCATATGGTATGCTAATGAGCAACTAGGCTATTAGCATATGCCACGCCCCCTGACATCACTGGAGGTTATGTCAGAAGGGGGAGCAAAAGGGGGGGAGGCAACTTCAAAAGCCTCCCCTTCCCTTCCCCAGCTGGCCTGGGGGGGGAGCGAAGAGAGAAGGGGCTTAAAGTTTAAACCCCTCTCACTAGAGTTGGGCCACAGAAGGAAGAAAGAGGGAAGGAGAGAGAGAGTAGAGAGAAGGAAAGAAGGAAGGAAAGAAGGAAGAAAAGAGGGGATAAAAAGAAGGAAAGAGGGAAAGAAAGAGAAGGAAAGGAGAGAAAGAAAGAGAGAGAAGGGAAGAAGGAGGGGAAGAGGGAAAGGAGAGAAGGAAAGGAGGGAATGAAAGAGAGAAGGAAAGGAGGAAAAGAGAGGAAGGAAGGAAGAGAATCTCCAGGTGTCCCCCGAGCTGCAGCACTTCTGCACGACCCGGGGGACCCAGCAGCGGGGCTCTCCAGGCCTCCCTCGGCCACAGCGCTTCGGCGTGGGGAGCTGGGGGCGGGGCTTGCTGGGGACCCTGCAGTGGGGCTCTCCTGGTGTCCCCCGAGCCACAGCACTTCTGCGCAGGCCTGGGGGACCTGGCGGCGGGGCTCTCCTGGCATCCCTCAAGCCACAGCGCTTCTGCGCAGGCCTGGGGGACCCGGCGGCAGGGCTCTCCTGGCATCCCCCGAGCCGCAGCGCTTCTGCGCGGGCCAGGGGAACCCGACGTCGAGACTCTTCGGGTGTCCCTCGAGCCTCAGCACTTCTGCGTGGGCCCAGGGGACCCGGCGGTGGGGCTCTCTGGGCATCCCCCTGGCCACAGCACTTTGGCGCGGGGAGCTGGGGGTTTGCTACCGCCGCCACCACCACTTGTGCGGGCTCCTGGGCTGCCAGAGCGGTGCTCTGGCGCGTTCCAGCCCCAAAAGACCCCTGACTATAACTATCTGTCACATCAGAATATAAAGGAGGGGAGCTCTTAAAGCCTGGGAATACAATGCATTCCTAAGTAGAGTTACACCCACCTAAGCCCCATGAATTTAGAAGTGTTTACTATGCTTAAGATTGTACTATGTGAGCCCTGTGAACTGTATCCAACTGACCAAGGCTTTTAACTCAGATGAGTCCCTCCATTATCCCAGAATGACGACCCAGAGTTTAACTCATGTAAGCAAGATGGACTTCTTGCTGTGTTGCAAATAGCACACAGGACTTGGATTGCCTACCCTACCATAAAAGCCATTCAAAAGAGGGAAAATATACAAAATTCCAGTTAACAACTCCTAATGGGGAAAGCATGCTGGAAGAGACAACTTATGAAAAACCACTGATGGAATTCTTCTTTTCTCCTGGGTCAGCCTGAAGTCACCTATACTCCATTAATGCAATGTTAAATAAATTCCTAACTCCTTTCTCATTTCCAAGAAGCATGACCAATTCTTTGGAGAAGGGCCAGCTTTCAAATACACTCAGACTGAACTCCACAAATGTCTGCCAAAAAACATAATTTTAAGACCTCTCTCCCATAGCTCCTATCCAGTGCAAAAGAGATCACATTTTCATCCTTGCCAACCTTTGTTCATTGAAAGAACAATGAACAATCTGGTCCTCCCATATTTAAAGTAGACAATGACTGTGTGTCACTACTGAAGGAGAAAGGTGAATGGCAAACTGGTTGTCTCTATATTTTTTTATTGGTAAGATGTGTTTTTGAGTGGAAAGGGACCTATCACAACACAGTCCCCTCCACTGACTATGAAGTAGAATCAGCAGCACCATGGATGCCACCATTAAAACTTGTGCCCCCCTCCCAATTTTCCCTCAGCAAATGTTTGTTTCCCATCTTTTTCTTCTTTAAAAGGAGAAATGAACAGCAGCAGACTCCCTGCATGTCCCCATGCTATATCCCTATAGCAAGACTTTGCTTTCCTCTCCCTCCCATTCAGCTTATAAATTGTTCTGTTCTATGACGAATAGTGCTAAGAAAAAAACTGCTACTGAGACATGTATTCACTATTCAATTAATCACTGGGGGGAAATACATTTACTGGAGATGTTCCTTTAAAACTAGGCTTGTCTTGGTCATGGAAAATATTACTTACAATTTCAACATTCTGTCCCAAATAAGGGAAATTAGTAGAAATATCTGTATCTGAAAAAGCTTGTTTGGGCCTTCTACAACACCACTCCTCCCATTAGACTCCCTTGAAGTCATGCACATTGTTCTTTTTAAAGACTATGTTCAGCTGGTGCAGGCATTTGAGCAGATCAGGAATACAAATGTGATGCTGTATTATGTCAGAACTGCATGTTTAGTCTGCCTTTCGAGAAATAATCAGGAAAAGTTATACATGATAAGAGACAGATGCGTCTACCCTAGCAGATATCAGAACACTTTCTGGTACAATATTACAATGGTGGAAAAGCTACAAAAGGAATTATTTGTGTTTGCATTACATTGATTTGACCCACTTTAAAATTGGGTGTTGGTGATTCTCTTTAAACTCTCTTTAGAATGTCTTCAACAAACCAATAGTTTCAGACTGTTTGATGTGTCATACAGGCTTTTCTTATGCTGGTAAGACTTTTACTTCCCATCTTCTCAAAATCGTAGTGCTATAAGAGACTAGAAAACTGTAAAATCCTGCTCTCCTGACCCAAGATACATCTAAACCCATGCATAATTCCCTGTCTCTCTCTCACCCCTAACTCAGCTCAAATAATACGGATGTCAGTATATTCCATGCAGAGACAAGGAACCAACAACCTACTGTAGCAAGGGACTTTTAGACCATATGGTTCCAACTGACTCAAGGATGTAATCCAAGCCACATGCTCCAACGAAGAGGGGAAAAACCAGCAAAAATATCTTCTAGTCTAGGGGAAAGTACTTTCTGGTACTAAATATTGCAAGCAGACCTAAACAGGATGCAAAATTCAGGACTGGTCTAAATGTTAGTTGAATACACATGAAACTGCCTTACACCAGTGTGCGGCTGTGTACCTAATGTTGGGATTGAGACACAGGATTAGAATTCTGTTGGTGTGCTGCCCACCTTAAGAACATAAGAGAAGCCAATGTTGGATCAGGCCAATGGCCTATCTAGTTTAACACTCTGTCACACAGTGGCCAAAAATACCAGGTGCCATCAGGAGGTCCAGCAGTGGGGCCAGGACACTAGAAGCCCTTGCCCTGTTGCCCCCCCCCCAGCACCAAGAATAGAAGAAGAGAAGAGATTGGATTTATAACCCGCCCTTCACTACCCAAGGGAGTCTCAGAGCGGCTTACAAACTCCTTTCCCTTCCCCTTCCCACAACAGACACCCTGTGAGGTAGGTGGGGCTGAGAGAGCTCTGAGAAACTGCTCTTTTTCAAGAACAGCTGTGCCAGAACTATGGCTTGCCCAAGGTCATCCAGCAGGTGCAAGTGGAGGAGTGGGGAACAAACCCGGCTCTCCCAGATTAGAGTCCACACACTTAACCACTACACCAAACTGGCTACAGTGCATCACTTGCCCCAGCCTGAGAGCTCCTATTTATACCTTGTGGCTAATAGCCACCGATGGACTTCTGCTATTAGTCATAAGGTATAGCCACCTTGCTGCCTAACAGTCTTTTTGCCTGAGCTGACTGAGATGGTCTAAGGGTGGTGTTGAGGATCCCATGGCTGGTTGTC